CCCCTACCTGATCTAGATACTTCTTGAAGCTATGTTCCTCGGCATGGAATATTCCCTGTTTGTTCAACCCGTTCTGTATAAACTTCTCTACTCAGTACACACACTTAGATTAAGGTGGTGAAAAAGAGCTTAAAGGGACTATTGACGTAATTTCAGATGGCCCTTCATTAAGAAAGGGCCCCAATTATAAAGCCGTACCATTTAAATCTTAGTTCACGCACATATGACTAAGATATCCTTGTTTTTCTATTTGAAAATGATAATATCCAATTCTGGTTTCCCTATAATAGTGACTTGCGAAATTTTGCAGAAAAATATAGGAAATTGTCAGAATTAAACACTAACAGATAAAAAAACGATATTTTTTTTCGTTGAACTCGTTCTGCACAAAGCTCCCTGAGTGCAAATTGTAGTAGAACTTCCTGACAAGAAAACAAAACATTGTAAAAAAAAATTTTTAGAAAAATATATTTATCTAGTTTGTTGTGTTGTATCCCTGAATATGTAGCAGGAGAGATAAAAGTGACAAAATACTTTGCCATCACAGCTTCTTCTTCGTTCTGAAAAAATATGGTTTCTGATCTAAAGAACACATCAAACCAATATCAAGAGAAATGCGTATTGCGTACATGACTACTGAAGAAATCAAGTATGATAGAAAGCTTAGTTACGCTGCTAGCTAAACTTGAACCATTTTGGAATCAAAAGAATTGTGTTTTTGCTACAAGCTCAAATTTTTAATGCCTTTATTTTTGCAACCTGATCATGTAGACCTTTAATATTTCATACTTAAATTATTTGATCTTACAGAACTTATAGTTTGAAATGTCTAAGATTTATGATATTGGGTTTCAAAGATAAAAGGATTAGAAAATTATAAATTTGTGGCAAAGAGTCAATTCCATTAATTATTTTTCAAACTACAAATTCATTTGCGAATTTTAACCATCGCACTAGAAATATTTAACGTGGCCTGCGACAGGGAAAAAATATATAAAAATAGTTTTTAAAGTTAAGAAATTTGTTTTTAGCATCGGACACCTTCATTTGGTTCGTTTTTCTGACATTTAAAGAACTTGGCAAGAATCTGAGATTACTGAGATGCTCAATTTTGTTCAAAACAATTTGTTAAAATGATGTTAACCCTCATTTAAATGTTTTGTTTCATATATTATGTCAGATTGTATATTTTATTCAATGTGATGTAAGTAAAGCAAACTTATAAAGCCTTTTACACAGGGCTAAGGATCAATTTAATATTGATGCGGATCCGGATCCTGGATCCGCACTGGGAAAAAATGGATCCGGATCCAGGTCATTTCGTTCAGATTTACTGAATGATTTTAACAAAGCAGAATTTTCAAATTATTTGTCATATTTTTTCGCTTATTTTCATGCTAAAACTTTATGAACCATTAAAAAATCAAGAAATTTTTTATAATCTCTCTTTTTTCAATAGTTCAGATTTTGGTTTTATGAGTAAAAAGTTTTTGTTTGCAGTACTTGGTTGATATTATGCCCCATGGATCCGGATCCTAAGCACTGTTTTTAAATACAAAATCAACATATCCTACTTGTTCAAAACAAGTCTTTTGAAACTTGAAAAAAAAAATTGAACATCTAAAAAGGAACCAAAAAACTATGCTCATTTTTAGTTTGTAGTTCTCTGACTCTGACCTCTTTACTCTTCTTCTTATCAGAACCCTCCTCCGCTCCAGCATCCTGATCCCCCCTGGCCTGCGGGAGATGGAGATGCCCATACCTAGAGAGCACCTCGTGGACATATAAAGAAAAAAGTTGAAAATACGCTCTTTTTCAGATGAAAAAATAATTAGATAAATTAGGTGTAACAAATTAGAACTTCTTTGACTATTCTTTAAAAAAGTAAACACTCCCTTTACCTTGTTTCCTTAAGCTCTCTGATAATAATGTTGAACTCTAGACCAGGATTAAGGATGGAACGAAGGAGCTGGTGAGACTTCCCGTACTTTAGCAGGTTCTCCATTCCGTTTATATACATCCTTAATTATTTACATCCTTAATAATATATTAAAGGGATTGTGAACGTGACATTAAAGGGACTGTCAGCGCAATTGCAATTGACCCTCCCTGCAAAGGTAGCAATGCCCGATTTACAACTGTACCCATGAACCTTTATCTGATAAAAAATGTGACAAATAAAGACAGAACAAATCTCTTTTCAAATGAAAAACCAACGTATCTTCCTCGTTGTTTATCAGATAAAGGTAGGCAGGGTACAGTTGTGAATTGGGCATGCAACTTTATAATAAACGGATCGAGGGAAAAAAATTAATTTAGACTTTCCAAATTTATTAGATTCATTTCCTCCAAAAAAGTTGTTTATTTTTCCATAATTTGGGTGGACAAATATTTTTAGAAGAGGGAGGCAGGGAGGTGGGGGAAAATATATATATATATATATATACCCCTGTGAAGCAAGGAGGTTGCTATACTTCGAAAGTTTGCACTCTAAATTTTAGATGCAATATCGGCAGGACTATTTGAGCCGATGGACATACGTACAACTGCACTAAAGGTATTCAGAAATTCATTTTTAATCCATTTTAACATTAGTACATATGAACAAAATAAAAATAATTATTTTCAAATGAACAAATTAAAAAAATCTAAAAATCAATTTTAACACATTGATATCATTATTTTGTGGGGGCAACGCTCGGCCCGGAAATTGTCGTAACCTAACCCTCGAATACTAAAATTACATCACATAATTTTTTTTTGTAGAAATGCTTAATTAACTGGAAATGAGGTTATTTTTTTTAAATTGAAAAATAGTTAAATTTAACAAATATTTGTTAAAAAAGGCTTTAATCCTATTGAACGTTAGTCCAAATGAACATTAGTCTAAACGAACGTTAGTCCAATCGATCATTAGTCCAATTGATATGACACTTTTTACGTACCTTCCCGGTATAGTGAACGCCATGTGTGGTTTATCCCCAATATTAAAATCAAAATATATTCCAATATCCGATACTCCACGGACCTAAAAACAAAAACACATTTTAATCAAAAACCCGTTTCCAAATAAACAATTCCATGGCCCCACATTTCAGTCGCGTAAAATTAAATATTTATTTTACTATTTCTATAAATTTTTGTTTCGTTTTTTATTATTTATTTTTAGATTATTTACTAAAACTATCTTGGATTTTCCTTTTCAGACTGTGTTATATATTACTAGAACAGCGTCGAGGAATAAAATGGCCAAAATTTAATCAAATCCAGAAACAAAGTTGACATGCAGTTCCTTTCATGAATTAGGAAAAAATAATAGTGAATTCTTGAAACTCTTAACCTTAGCTGGAATAGGTCCAATAGGTTTAGCTGCTGGGTTCAGAGCAGTAAACCTCTCGAAATTATTTGATGTTTTCTTAACTACCATTTTATCTGAAATATGGGAATTGCAAAATGATCTGTCTTAGTTCGATTATAATAATGTCAGACTCTGAATCGATCGACCCCAATTTATGCAGTTGTATTTTTCTGGAAATGCCAGGGCTAGGAGAATTATGTGACAATTGTTTCAAGAATCATGCACGTTAAAGTAGATAGAAGACTAAATGTCACAAATAAATTCAAATACCAAAGACGACTTTCAAGTCGTCTTCCTATTGTCATGTTTCGTGGGACACCCTGTATA